TAAAGTAATTTTTTGATACATATGTAGTTATTGCCATTTTATTATTCATATTTTGATCTTTTTTTTTTCTTCTCCTTTTTAAAGAAATCCCTCTAACATTTCTTCTAATACTGATTTGGTGTTGGTGAACTCCTTTGGTTTTTTTCTTGTCTTGGAAGCTCTTATCCTTCAATTTTAGATGATAACTTTGCTAGGTAGAGTAATCTTGGTGGTAGATACTTGGTTTTCATCACTTTGACTATTTCATGCCAATCACTTCTGGCCTACAAAGTTTCTGTTGAGAAATCAGCTGACAATCTTATGGGAGCTCCTTTGTAGGTAACTAACTGCCTTCCTTTTGCTGGTTTTAAGATTCTCTCTTTGTCTTTAACCTTTGCCATTTTAATTCTGATGTGTCTTGGTATGGGCCTGTTTAGGTTCATCTTGTTTGGGACTCTCTGTACTTCCTGGACATGTATGCCTGTTTCCTTTGCTGGACCAGGGACGTTTTCAGTCATTACAGCTTCAACTAGGTTTTCAATTCCTTGCTCTCTCTCTTATCCTTCTGGTACCCCTATGATGTGAATGTTGTTACACTTATGTTATCCCAGAGGTCCTTTACACTATCCTCATATTTTTGGTTTCTTTTTTCTTTTTGCTGTTCCTGTTGGGTGTTTTCTGCTACCCTGTCTTCCAAATCACTGATCGATCCTGTTTCATTTAATTTTCTGTGGATTACTTCTAGTGTATTTTTTAGTTCAGTTATTGTATTCTTTATTTCCGACTGGTTCTTTTTTATGGATTCTAAGTCCTTTTTAATGCTTACTATCTCTTTGTCGAAGTTGAAATGAACAAATTGTAAACAGTACCAATCAATGAGTAATGACAAATGTATACATACATCTGTGTAATCCAAACGCCAGCAAGATATACAACATTACCATTACTCCCTCCTCCAGTTTCCTCATTCTTCTTCCTATTTAGTCCCCACCTCCACCCCAACTTTCTGAGTTTTTCAATATAGTTTTATCTGTCCTAGAATATCACATAAATGAAATCATTCTTTTTTAAAAATATATTTTGTAGATTCTTAAGAATTTTTTATGTAAACAGTCATGTCATCTGTCAATAGAGACATTTTACTCTTCCTTTCTGATCTATACAACTTGTATTTTTTTTTCTTGTTTTAATTAACTGACTTAGATACAATATAGTGTTGAATAGAAATGCTGCATGTTGACATCCTTGCCTTGTCCCTAATCTTAAGGAGAAAGCATTTAATATTTTTCACCATTAAATATTGTGTTAGCTGATTATCTCTATAGATGCCCTTTATCAAATTGAGGAAGTTACTTCTATTTTGCTCAAAGAATTTTTTAAGTCATGAATGAGTATTTTTCTGTATCTGTTAATGTGATCACATGATTTTCTTTTTTTCTGTTAAGATGAATTACATTGATTGATTTTTGAATATTAAATCATCCTTTCTGGAAAAAGTTCCATTTAGTCATAATGTATTATTCTTTTTATATGTTTCTATATTCGGTTTGCTAATATTTTAAGTTTTTTGTGTCCGTGTTCATGAAAAATATTTGTCTATCATTTAAAAAAATTTTTTTGTTATCAGGTTTATTCAGGCCTCATAAAACAAATTTAGAAGGGTCTCCTTCATTTTCTGAAAGAATTTATAAGATTGGTATCTGTTTAAGACTTTTCTTTCAATGTTTGACAAATTTTACCAGTGAAATTATCTGAGCCTGGAATTTCTCTTTGTGGGAAGGAATTTGATAACCAATTCAATTTCCTTAATAAATATATGACAGTCATATTTTCTATTTCATCTTGTCTCAGTTTTGGTAATCAGTTTTTCAAGATATTTGTATATTTCATGTTGAATTTATTGGTATGAAGTTGTTTAATTTGTTGACATAAAGTTGTTCATAATATTATCTTTTTAATGTCTGTAGTCTTTATTATGGTATCACCTCTTAATTACTACTATTGGTAATTTATGTTCTTTCTTTTGTTCTTGATCATTCTGCCTATAGGTTTATCAATCTTGATGAGAAGCTTAGAATTTCAGCCCCAACTCCTAACCTCTAGGGAGAGGAGAGGGACTGGAGATTGAGGTCAGTTACCAATAGCCAGTGATTTAATTAATCATGCTTATGTGATTAAACCACCATAAAAATCTCTAAAAGCCAGATTCAGAGAGCTTCCAGGTTGGTGAATACTTTGAGGTGCTGGGACGGTGGTGTGTGCCCAGAGAAGGCATGGAAGTTCCCTTCCCCCATAGCTTGCCCTATGTATCTCTTCCATTTGACTGTTCATGAGTCGTATCCTTTATAATAAACCAATAAACAAATATAAAGTTCCTTCCTGAGTTTTGTGAGCCATTCTTGCACATAACTGAACCTGAGGCAGGAGTCGTGGGAACCCTGGAATTATAGCCAGTTGGTCAGAAGTATAGGTTGTAACCTGGGATTTGTGATTGGCTTCGAAGTGGGGCCAGTCCTGTGGGACTGAGCCTTTAACCTATGGGGTCTGTGCTAGCCTTCTCTGTAGTTAGAATTGAATTGTAGGACACCTAGTTGTTGTCTGCAGAGAACTAGAGAATTACTTGGTATGGAAAATCCATACACATTTCATGTCAGAAGTTTTGTGAGTGAAAACAGCTCAGACTATCCTATCGGTCCTTGCTTAAAATCCTACCCTGGCTTCTCTTTGCACTTGAACTTATTACCATGGTTTTTATAAAGGTTGTCCATTATCCAGCCAGGCCTGGCTCTCCAAACAATAGCATCTGTTACCACTCACTTCCCTTTGGCTATTGTCTTTTCCTCCTCAAATATTCCAGTGCTTTTCAGCTGCAAGACCTTTGTACTTGCTGTTCCCTATGACTGGGGTGCTTTTTCTTAAGACTTTGGCATGCTGGTTTTCTCTCATCCTCAGCTTCAGCTAAAATTTCACCTCCTTAGGGAGGCCTGCCCAACCACCATATCTAAAGACCTTCTCTACGCCCTGTCCCACCCATCCACTCCCACCCCTGCTAGGTTTCATCTCCATCACCTTGTTTATTCTTTTCAATGAGTTTATCACTCTCTGATTACCTTCTATTGTTCATCACTGATCTCTAGCACCTAGAATGGTGTCTGGCACCTATGAAGTGCTCTATAAAAACCTTTTGAGTCAATATATAAGAAAACATTTCCTCGACATTTTTAGAGAAATTTTTTTCCTACCTTTTATTTTCAACTCATCCGTATTTAAACTGGTATTATGTAAGTCCAGATAAAATCAACTCAAGGAATAAAAATATTGGAATGTCCTTGTTGATAAAGAAGAAATTGGGGACTGGAGCTGCTTCAGCATGTGCTGTAGCATTTTCTGAATTTGTACCTCTGAGGCACTACTGTGGGTATCAGGATCTCAGTGAAGCCTCTTCTTACCTTCTCCTCTGATGATCCAGCTTACCTGGCTCACCTGTTTCCTTTTTTCATTCTTATAACCGGTTAATGTAGGAGGTAATTTATTTTTTTATAATTATTGTCTGTTGTCTGTCTTTCCACTCCCACCCCACACTGCACCACTGCGAGCTTCATGAGGGCAAGGGTCCAGTTCTATTTGTTCTGGTACTAAGTAGGTGCTCAACGAATTGTGGAATGAATGAATGAATGACTCAAAGAAGAGAAAGGAATCTGGGAAAGTTATGAATTCTCTCTTCCAGTACTTCCCCAGATGTTGACTAGTTTATTCATTCTCAGCATGGCTTTACTTGTATATTTATAACCTATTCTTTGTGTGCCTGTTGCTGCTTTTTATGTGAATCTTTTGTTCACTCTAGAGCTTGCATAAGGAGGAATCTAGCTCTGTATTTATGACATCATGATAGGACAAAATCCAATGAAGCTGAGCTCCATCCTGTAGGGGCTATTTCCTCTATGAGTAGAGACTACCTTTCCTCTTCCCTGAAGAAAAATCTAGTAGTTGTTTAAATGCAGGATAAAACTGAGCACTTAAATTTATCAAGAAAATACTGGAAGAAAAGGAGCAGCAGTATGCAAGAACTAAAAGGATCACACCTTTTTGGGAGAGTGGCCAAGTTCAAAATCTTCCCAATTGGCTATATTTCTCTTTTAATTTCAAGTTTTCTTAGGATTACAAAATTAAAACATTCTATTATTGTTATTTTCACAAACCTATTGTCTTCATGGAAATCCCCCAGTTCTTCAGATGATCAACAGAGGAAAATTTTTCTTTAAAACATACAGTATACTGTTTTCTTTGAAATAATTGTGGTGAGAAGAGAAATCTTCCCTTTAGTTTGAAGTCATGCTTTTAAGTTGCTTGGAGGTGGTAACATGTAAATCTTCATAGTATCTCTCATTTAAAAGAAAAGATGAAAGAAGGGAATTACCTCATTAATTATTTAAAATACTTGGTGCAACTGTTCCTTATGAATTAATCCCAGCACTTGGAAGATAATTACACTCAGTGTTAATAACTTTGCCAACCTTTTCCAGTATGCTGCACTCCAAATACTTTTGTGTTTTCATTGACAACATTTACTATTACATATACATATGAAAAACAGTCATTTTCATCAGAATTACTGTAATAGCATTAAGAGATTATTACCTTTTCCAATTTCCTTGGAAGAAAATTCACTTAAATTAGATTATTTATTACTTGACTGCTTTTCTATCTTGCCTGTATGTTTAGGTAACTGGAGTCCATGAAAGTAAAAACTTTAGAATAAAAGCATGATTTTATACATTAATGATTTCAAATAAAAGAGGAGTGCCAGTTTGTGCATCACTTCTTTCGAGAAAGTTAAGTCCCTGTTCTGCTTAGGAGAGATAACACTTTTTGTCCCTGTAGGTGGCCCCCTGGTGTAGCCATTAGTTGCTAATTACTTGCAAACAAATAAACAATTAACTCCTGAAGCTGCTGGCTGGGTGTTCATTGACATGCTAAAACTTTCTAAGACAGGATTTTAATTAGTGACGTTCTAAATCCAGCCCCCTTGTCAGCGGAGCCTTAAGGTGAACTGCTGTAAGATCCCAGCCCTGTAGTGTGGGAAGAGCCAGCCCAGAGCTTGGAGAGGCCAGAGCTGTCTACATTGTGCAGCCCACGCGACAATGTCTCCCAGCCTTCAGGAAGGTGATCGCCTTGGGGAAAGCAAACCCTCCTTCTGCTCCTTTTCAATTGCAAGCATTTTAGGACTGGACCAGAAGAAAGACTGTGTTCCATCAATGAAACCCCATAGGCCTTGGGCAGACACCTGCGGCTCCTCAGGTATGCAACAATTTAATTTTTCAAACTCTTTGTTATTTCCTTTGTACTGTTTAATTTGGCCTTTAATTTTATACTACATAGAGTTAGAAAGAAACTGTAAATTCATGCAGTTACATAACTGAGGTATCTAGGACTTTTAATGCCTCCAGCTGAAATAAAAAGAATATCGGCTTTAAATCCAAGTGGGTATAAAGTTCTCTCACAGAAAATGCCAAGAACCTGCATTTACTTCAGATCTCTGTGTTTGACACAGCAGATATTCTAAATCTTTTTTCACTGCAAAAAAAAAAAAGGCATTCAAAGACCAAAATGTTCTCTATCACCAAAGGAGGATCTTCATTTTTGTTTGCTTTTTGGTTTTTGGTTCATGAGAAGTCACTTCTGTTGTGAAACCCAGAAGAAGGCTGGTAGGAAAATTGAAGACAAGTTCCTGAAATTACTTCTTATAGAACTTTTATGGAAAATAGTATTGGACATCTAAGATGGGGTTTATTTTTCTGTTTTTAGAGAAAGATGTTAACCTGTGTCTACTTGTCCCGAGTCTTCCTAATGGGATCTTATTTCCATGGACTGTGGATCACCCAGTGGCAGAAGAAAGAGTTTTGAAATATGAAAATTACTTTTCAGCCTCAGAAACACTGTCTTTGAAAAGAGAGTTGAGTTGGTATAGAGGCAGAAGACCAAGAACTGCTTTTACTCAAAACCAGGTGGGAAGATTTTTCAACTAATAATGTCAATCCGTCGGCTTTAACTGACGCCCTATTGAGCAAAAGTTCATTCACTTTGGGATCTCAATTTAGGCCTTATTAATGAAACAATAGACCGTATCATTTTTAAGTTTCTGGATAGTCATTTTTTTAAAAAGGCATGCAGATTAATTGCCCAAGATTTAAATGCAGTTATTTTGCTATACAAATTAAAGTCCATTTTATGATGACATACCACATATCAGCATTTTAAATAACTATTTCTTTACTCTTAGATTGAAATGTTGGAAAATGTCTTTAGAGTAAACTGCTATCCTGGCATTGATATCAGAGAAGACTTAGCTAAAAAATTGAATTTAGAAGAAGACAGAATCCAGGTAATTTTCAAATTTAGTTATTCCTGATGATTGAAATGTTAAGAATAATGAAATAATGTTTCTGAGATCTATTTTGTTTTTCCTTAATTTTAGATCTGGTTCCAAAATCGGCGTGCAAAACTGAGGAGGTCCCATAGAGAATCACAGTTTCTAATGGCGAAAAAAAATTTCAACACAAATTTCTTGGAATAGATAGAAAACTAATCTTGTGAAATTATCTTCCAATTTCAGAACATGAAGAGTTCATGGAAATATCAAGTTTTTAAAAAGTGATGTTTTCTGCATTTAATCTGAATATTGTCATTTTTTTCTGAAAATATATTGTAAATAATTACTATTATATCATGGTATCTATTATCCTTAGGCACTTTTAGATAAAGGCCTTTCCTATATATTTTAATAAACGTTTTCAGAAAAAGCCAGGTATTTTTTAAGTGTGCAAATTTAATCTAATAAATTAGTTTGCTGAAATCAGTAAACTCATTACTAGGTGACTCCACAAACTGGATTACGTTTACAAAGTAATTCAAGTTAAATAATATGATGAGTGGCACAAATGTGTGATTTGTTTCAATTAGTTTCCTTCAAGTACATTTTGAAACATGATTATGCTTTAATATATTATAGACTATGATTTTTTCATGAATCTTTAGTTTTTCTTGATTTCTGACATAAAGCAATGGAAATTTCTTACCATATATCAGTACAAATCCTTATAGCATGCCAGTTTCAGATTGTTATTTTTTAAGTAAAGTCATTATACCAAAGTAGACATATAAAAGCATCAGTTGTCATATTCCTTTGATATTGCATTACACAAAAGAATTGAGCTGCAAGTAAACACAAATTTTAAAATATTTTCTAGTTCATTTAATGTTGTGCTTTAACTTCATTTATTAAAGTGATAATGATCATCTGGCTTATATCTATTTCCAATGTACTGATTTCCAATCAGCTATACATATATATTTTTTTTTCAAGTTTATATTTTATTACATGTAATAATATGTTGACTAAGAAGGTAAGATAACTGACCTATGTTGTGTATGTATCCTGACATGGTTGTTGGAAATAATCAAAAACTATGTATTTCCTTTGCATTTGTCATTGTACATCTCAATTAAAGAAAGGAATAGGTTAAAAATCATCACAAGAAAGGAGTCCTACCACTGGAATTCTATGTATTTATTTTCTAATTAATCGGTGGAAGGCCAAAGTGGTGTTCTTTTTGAAATGGTAGCTTGTGGACTCTGACTTTATCTCCTGAAAACCATATTTCAACTTTGCCCATTCGAATTGACTTCTTCTTTGCTTCCCTTTTCTTTATTACTCCTCTGTCCTTTTTTCTCCCAGTGACATCCGCAGGAGAAGGTTCTTGTTAAATTCCTTTTTCTTTTTTTTTTTTTTTCTTTTTATCATATTGCACGAGAAAGACTAGAGGGAGTTTGCATATTATTGCTGAGGGAAAATAGCATAACAGATTTTGAAGCTTTTTAAAATCATTTACCCAGAGTACATTTGGGGTAGAGAGCTCTGTGTCCCAACAACTGGTCGGCATTAAGCTGCACTTATTCTTTTCTGCAATCGCTGAGATGGAGAGGGAGGAAGAGAAAAAGGCAACAAGGGCAGAAACTGGAAGACCAAAAACATAACATCTTTTCCAAGGGAGACTATTTTTTTTTCCAGTATAAAAAGCTGCTTTTGTTAATATAAAATTTGAAGCACTACTTATGAAATATATGTCAAAATGTATCCAAGAGCTTTCTTTGCTCTTCATTAGGTTCCTATGAAACTATATTAAGTTGGAGGTCTGGAAGTCACCAGGAGTGGGTTGGAAGGGAAAGTGTCACTTGATGGGTAGGCTTTTTTCAAATAGCCTTTATTTTAATACCAAAGGCCATATTTATATACTGTGAACAATTCAAGCAGTATGAAAATACAGTAATATATCCCTCAAATCCTATCTTTCAAATCTTATCTATAAACATTTTATAGATGTTTTTATGTATAAAGGCATATATATGTACATACATGTATGCGTATATATACATACACATGTATATACATAGATACATGCATATGTATTTGTTTTTGCTGTTCTTTTTTTAAATGTCATCACACTTGATATTCTGAGCATCTTTCCAACGTCTTGCCGTGTCACACATAGCTCTGTCTTTCTTAATATTTACTTAGTTTAGGGTAAGATTTCAAGTCTTGTACATAACAAACTATTCCACAATATTAATATTAATATTTAAGTACTTTTGAAGTAGTACTTTACACGAATGGAGATTTTTTTAGAGTAATCATAGTTTATCTAGAATTCATCTGAAATTAAAACTAACGCCAAATCTCTGAGGAATGTGAGGATTCTGTATATAAAATTATAGACAGTAGAAAAAATTGAAATAGCATCACAAACATTGATCAACAGCAAGTAATACACTTAAAAATTTTTGTTCATTATAAAAATTGATCATACCTATAAAACATCTGGTGAAGAAAGGAACAGTAATTCTAGAATATTATCTCGGTATTTTCCAGTGCAATTTAATATAACTGATTTGTGTGGTTCTAAAATTTAATTTTGTCTACAATTGAAATAAGTTGTGTTCATAGCCAAATTATATATTTGTAACAAATAATTTCTAATAGAAATGATGCATATATAACTGAAATAACACTTAAAAGTAAAAAAATTTTAAATACTAGAATTTATATTAAAGAAATTAACTATGAATGTAATTACACATCCTTATATATTTTCAGACTAATAACAGAATATCATTAAATACTGTGAAGTGAGTCCACAATATGTTAGCATATTTAAGAAGCAAGATAATATACAACATCAGTAGTGTGTTTCCCTTAAAATCATTTCCCAAACCCTAAAAGATAAAAATTGATCTCGTTAAAGGAAATAATGAGCCAGTAACTCTTTTAATCAATTATGATTGATAATAATTTGGAGAGAATATGTGGCTATTCAGGGAAAAAAATGGGCTTTAACTTCCGAGGAAAAATCAAACAAGATGAAAATGGAAATGAAAATCCAAGATGGAATTATCTTTCCCTCAAAACACACAGGCTCTAATCCACAGCTTATCTCTGCTCCTGTAATTCCAAGCCTTTGTCTCCATTAATGCCCAAGACAAGGTGAACTGTAGTACAAATCAAACTAATGCAGTCAGGCTAATACCTGGAGCGTCTCTATTATCTGACCACTGCCTAAATAAGGTTATTTGGTCTCCCGTAAAGGCATCTGTCTCTTGTGAAGCCAGCCAGACAAAGCCCATCACTAAAGAGTGCTGGTAGAAACAATGGCTGTGTGTGCTGGTGGTCAGCTTTTGAGTTAATCAGTGTTGATAGCTGCTTTCACCCGCTGCGTCTTATCACGCTTCACAGAGTGGCATAAATCTCCCATTACCACGCTCAACACATAGCATCAACCTGGGCCTTGTGCTTACTTCTAAAGGCAGAGAGCTACATGCTAGTCCATTTACTTGATGTGAAACCTAAATCAGAGTATGACAAATGGTGACTTCCTATCTCCATTGCACTGAGCTCCATAGAACTAAAAATCTCTCTATATGCCTTTGGCTAAATTTAATGCTTTTTGGGATTGTTTTGCACTGGCAGCCAAACAGCCAAAGCACCTCTCGGTGGCTCTACTACTCCACATCCCATTAAACTCACCCCTTCCCATTTTTCTCTCTCCTATTTTTTTAATTCTAATGCTTTCCTTTCTCCCTGCTAATACTTTGGCAAGCTGCTTGTTGTCAGCCAGTATTACTAAGTCTCATAGGTGAACCTCCAGCCTAAAAAGTTTATTGCTTAGCTCTGTCTGGTAAAGTGACCAACGTTTAGAAACTTCCATGTCCGTTATCTTCCTAGGGTGTCCTAGTGGGCCATATTCTTTATTTCACATTTTATGACTGGGTGATTTCAGTGAAATAAATGATACCATAGCATATGTCCTATTTATCACATCATAAACTTGAAAAGAATGATGCACTTATATCTGTTGTTCGTCAAGAACTGCATAACTGTGTGTTCCTTTTATAAGGCACAATCCCTATTTGTTGGATATTTATGGACTTGTGTTGAGCTACCAACACTGCTCTTCCTTGATCTCTCTAGTTCAATCGAGTTGGCCAGTTAAAAAGTACTCATTGGAGTCAACCTAGCAATTTAGTCAAGAGATGAGGCTAGAGTCTGGTCCCCTTGGTTCAAACCCCAGTAGCTATTTAACTTTGGGCAAGTTATTCAACCCCTTAGAGCCTTAGTTTCCTCACCTATAAAATAGGGATAATAGTGGGACCTATTTCATAGACTTGTTGTGGAATTAAATGAGATAATAGGTAAAGCTTAGGCTAATTCCTGGGACATAAAACAGTAAATATTAGCTCTTATTTTAATAGTGTGCTAGAGATTATGTGCTAGGGAATATAGAAGTGAAGGGAATTGTCTAGAACGATGTTTTTATGTAAGGAACAATGTGGCACAGAGTGGATTCTCAGTCAGCAGTCATAGAACAAATGAAAACAGTCTTTGGTCTCTAGGAGCTCACTATATGATAGACTATTCAAACAATTATTTGACAAATATTTATTCAGTGTCTGCCATGAGTCAGTCACTATTTGAGGCTCTAGGGATTGAGTAATGAACAAGTCAAGGTCTCCACAATATTGAGACTTTTTCTACATAGTACTTAACACGGTCATGGCAAATAGTTGACCCACAGTAGATGGTGAATGAATAAATGAAAATAACACAGGGAATTATATAATCAAGGACTAAATTAATATGTATAGATGTTCAGGACTACTAGAAGCTATAGGAGGGGAGGGATCAGAGAGAGATGTAAAGATCAACTCTCAATTTGTTGCCTCTACATGGATAGGTCTAGGAAAAGGCTACAGCTTAATGTGGGCAGGAGCTGGATGTTAGTGGAAGGGCATTCCAGGTGAGGGAACAACATGTGAGAAGACTCAGAAGCTGGATAGCAGGAACAGTGGCCTCCCTAGGGTGCTGAGTGGCTGTTTGCAGGGCCACCTTCATGGGTGTACAATCCGTGCAGTTACACGGGGCACTGCGCTCAGTAGGGCCCTGCATTTGATTTAATGCTCTGCTGTTGCCATTTTGAAATTCTTAATAATTTTTGACCAAGGGAAATCACATTTTCATTTTGCATCGAGCCCCCTAAATTATGTAGCCAGTCCTGCCTGTTGGGGGTGGATGATACAAACTACAGAGGACCTTAGAAAAAGGCCAAGGAAGTAAACTTTGATATGGTATGAAATAGTGACCAAGATTGGTTATCGAACTAGGGTTGCAGCATGGTTTAGGAAGTTAAAAACAGGATGCAGAGAGAAGAAAAAGGCTGAATTGACCTACCTGCAGTTGCAGTATGTGCTTTTGAAGTTGCCGATGGCCTATGTGAGGGTTAGGATGATGAAGACAGAAAAAAGGGG